AGACGCTTGAGCGGCGTGCCAAAATAGATGTGAAGCCATGCGGGCGCTGCTACTGGGGCCTTCGGTGGAGCTCCCTATGTGGCCACTGAGCTCGTGAAGCGTGTGCCGAAGTGGGTACGGTGCCGCCATGCGAGCGCTGCCACTGGGGCCTTCGGTGGAACTCCCATTGGGGTTACGTCGTCACGACACGCGTGGGGGGCGTGCCGGAATGATGATGATGATGATGATGATGATGATGATGATGATGATGATGATGATGATGATGTTGATGCTGACGTTGGCGATGGGACGGGTGATGGATGAGGACGGCGATAGTGATTATGAATGTGACGATGGTTATGACGCTGATGGCGACGTTGGCAACGATGATGATGATGATGATGATGATGATGATGATGATGCTAATGGTGGAGAGACATTGTAGAATAGCGATATCAACTGCAGCAACAAGAAGGACGAGTCAAACGAAAGTAACAGCATGACAACAATGATAATAATGATCATGAAAATATGGGCAACGATAACCATATTGATGATAGTGATGTTGACGATGATGTTGACAATGGTGGTGGAGATGGTGATGATGAAGATGGTGGTGTTGATGGTGGCGGTGTTGGCAATTATGATGGCGGTGGTGGTGATGATGCTGATGGTGGTGATGATAACGATACCTTACATCAAATCAACCTGGCGAAGGACCCAAACGTATGAAGTTGTAGGTACCGTCGCTGTATGCACCGCATTCGGTGGAGTTCCATATGGGCCCACGAAACATGTGAAGGGTGTGTCAGACTGGGTGCGGTGGGCGCATACGAGCGCTGGCAATGGAGCTCCCTTTGGGGCCACGAAACATACAAAGGGTGTGCTAAAAAGGGTGCGGTGGGCGCATGCGAGCGCTGGTATGTGGGCCTTCGGTGGAGCTCCCTATGGGGCCACGAAACGTCCGAGCGGTGTGCCAAAATGAGGGCGGTGGCCGCATGCGAGCGCTGCCATTTGGGCCTTCGGTGGAGCTCCTTATGGGGCCACGAAACGTGTGAGGGGTGTGCCAAAATGGGTGCGGTGGGCGCATGCGAGCGTTGGCATGTGGGCCTTCGGTGGAGCTCCCTATGGGGCCACGAAACGTCCGAGCGGTGTGCCAAAATAGGAGAGGTGGCCGCATGCGAGCGCTGGCATCTTGGCCTTCGGTGGAGCTCCCTTATGGGGCTACGAAACGTTTGAGGGGTGTGCTAAACTGGGCGCGGTGGCCGCGATGCGAGCGCTGCAATTGGGCCCGTCGGTGGAGCTCCCTGTGGGGCCACGAAGCGTATGAGTTGTGTGCCAAAAATGTGCGCGGTGGCCGCATGCGAGCGCTGGCATGTGGGCCTTCGGTGGAGCTCCCTATGGGGCCACGAACCGTGCGAGGGGTGTGCCAAAATGGGTGCGGTAACGACGACGACGACGACGACGATGGTGATAGTGATTGTGATGGCGATGGTGATGGCGGTGATGGTGATGGTGATGGTGATGGTGATGGTGATGGTGATGGTGATGGTGATGGTGGTCGGTGGTGGGGGTGGTGGTCACTGCAAAAGGGAAACAAGTCCCGAGCAGAGCAACACGCACCAGGACCACGACGGCGCCGACGACGACGACAACGACGACGACGATGACGGAGACGAGGCGCGCAGAGGATCCGCACCGAAGCACGGCTCTGGGAAAAGGCCCACCCTGCAGGTTCAGTTAAACAGCACATCGTTGAGTGGTGCTGCAGCCTCCCCTGAGCACAGGCCCCCCAGAGCATCTGCCAGACAAGTCGGGTTTGCACCCTCATGCCCTGCTGGACTCTGGGCGCGTTTCGGGACCCTCTCCCCCAACCTCGTCAGGGCCACCGACAAAGAAGAGGGCAGCGGTGGCCGACGCGTCCCTGACCTAAGCTCACAGCGCCGCGGCTCAATGAGCCGGGAAGACAGACAGACAGACAAACGGACGGACAACGGACAGCCAGGCGGCGTGCAATCCCTGGCAATCCAAGTAGGTGATGGTGATGGTGATGGTGATGGTGATGGTGATGGTGATGGTGATGGTGATGATGATGATGATGATGATGATGATGATGATGATGATGATGATGATGCCGATGATGACGACGACGACGAAGACGACGACGATGATGATGATGACGATGATAATAATGATGATGCTGGTGATGAGAATGGTGGTGGTGACGATGATGATGATGATGATGACGACGATGATGTTGTTGATGATGATGCTGATGCTGATGCTGATGCTGATGCTGATGATGATGATGATGATGATGATAATGGTGATGCTGATGGTGATGATGATGCTGATGATGATGGTGATGATGATGCTGATGATGATGATGGTGGTGGTGGTGGCGGTGGTGGTGTGGTGATGAGGGTGGTGACGACGACGACGACGAAGATGACGATGAGGACATGCGGAGGGTAGAGGAGGGCGAGGAGAAAGGAGGAGGAAGGGAGGACGCGGCGCTGCTGATTCAAGAAGAAGACGAAACAGCGAAGGATGGTTCAGAAAAAAACAAAGCCGAATACAAATGCAGTTGTGAAGGACATAAGCAGATGCAGTTGTGAATGCCACCGTTGTGAGAAGCGCCTCCGATAGAGCTCCCTATGGGGCCACGAGACATGAGATGGGTGTGCCGACATGGGTGCGGCGGCGCCATGCGGGCGCTGCCACTGGGGCCTTCGATAAAGCCCCCTATGTGGGGGGCCACGAAACATGTGAGGGGTGTCTCGAGTTTGTGCGGCGGCGACATGCGGGCGCTGCCATGTGTGCCTCCGGTGGAGCTCCATATGGGCCCACGAATCGCGTGAGGCGTGCCGACATGGGTGCGGTGCTGCCATGCGGGCGCTGCCACGTGGGCCTTCGGCGGAGCTCCCTATGGGCCCACGAAACGTGTGAGGGGTGTGCCGACATGGGTGCAAGGCCGCCATGCGGGCGCTTCCGTGTGGGCCTTCGATGGCGCTCCCTATGTGGCCACGAAACGTGTGAGGGGTGTGCCGAAATGGGTGCGGTGTCGCCATGCGGGCGCTGCCACGTGGGCCTTCGGTGGAGCGCCCTCTGGGGCCACGAACTGCGTGAGGGGTGTGCCGACATGGGAGCAGTGCCGCCATGCGGGCGCTGCCATTTGGGCCTTTGGTGGAGCTCCCGATGGGGTCACGAAACGTGTGAGTGGTATGCCGACATGCGCGTGCGCAGAGCAGAGGGCAGGGATGGGAGGAGGAAGGAAGGGGAGGAGGAGGCGGAGGAGGGAGACGCGGGGCCCCGCTGATTCAGAGCGAAGACCCCACTGAGCACGGGACAGCTAAAAAATGAACGCCATGCGGGGGCGAGAACGCGGCGTGCGAGAGGACTAGCGGCCCCCCTCCCGGTTTCCCCCGCCCTCGGGGTCCAAAGCCCGGCTAGAGGGGAGGGGAGCTCATCAACGCACCTCCTGGGCGCCCCGTGGCCCCCAAATGCACACTTCGACCCCTCGTGAAAGCCTGAGACGCCTGCCAAGATGGCTCGAGGAGGGCGCCAACACGCCGGAGAGGTCTCCGTGCCACCCAAGATGGCTTTTAAAAAAGCACAGGAGGCCCCCTAAGACGCCCACAGAGGCCCCCAAGAGAACCCCCAAGAGGGCCGCAAGAGGCCAAATTCATGGGTGCACCCCACGTGCTTGATTCAGGAAGTAGGGGCTCGACCATAAGAAAACCTTTCACAAGAAGCCCAACCCTGAGACCCCAGGGCGTCCACTGATTTTTGGCGTGGGCACCGAAACCCAAGAAACCCAGGGCACGCTGGCGGCCGGCAAGCAGGGTGTTTCTTGGCATGGGCCTCCACTGTGGAGGAGGAGGAGGAGGAGGAGGAGGAGGAGGAGAAGGAGGACAAGCAGGAGGAGGAGGAGGAGGAGGAGGACAAGCAGGAGCAGGAGGAGGAGGAGGAGAGGAGGAGGAGGAGGAGGAGGAGGAGGAGGAGGGAGGAGGAGGAGGACGCAGGAGACGAGGAGGAGGAGGAGGAGGAGGAGGAGGAGGAGGGGGAGAAGGAGGAGGAGGAGGAGCAGCAGCAGCAGCAGGAGAAGCAGGAGCAGGAGGAGGAGGAGGGAGGAGGAGGAGAAGGAGGAGGAGGAGGAGGAGCTGGAGGTGGAGGAGGAGGAGGAGGAGGAGGAGAAAGAGGAGGAGGAGGAGGAGGAGGAGGAGGAGGAGGAGGAGGAGGAGTAATCGCGATCTCGCCTTTCGGGCTTCTGAGAGCCCTAGGCGGCCCGCGAAGCTCCCCCCCCCAGGCCAGCCCAAGACGGCCCACGAGGCCCCCTAAGAGGTCTCAGAAACGGCCCGAGGGAGCCCCACGACGATCCAAGAGGCCCAAAAGGCAGCCAAGAAAGCCCTCAAGAGGGCCCGACGAGCGGCCCAAAAGAGGGCGAAGAGCGGAACGCGCAGGGGCCCTGAGATCTCCCCACAGGATGGCCCCAAGACCCCCATCATGCTCCAACGAGGCCCCCTCCCCCAGGGTTTCCTTATGACCCCAGGAATCCGCAAAAAGGCCACCAGGAGGCCGCCCCGGATGCCTCAAAGAGGCTCCACAGAAGCCCTGCAACAGAAGCGGAGGAAGAGGAGGACGAGTCAGTAACAACTACACGCAGGCAGCACGACGAGAAGCGGCAAACAACTCGGGGAGTCCGCGAGACATGGCGCAGCCTCGACTAATACCAGCACATATTCCATCGAGCTCTGCTCACCAGAGACCCAACCAAAATTTGATGACTGCGCCTCCTCAGGCCAGAGGCCATGAATTCAAAATCGAGTAAAACGCGGTCACAAGTTCGCGGGAAACACCGAACTGGTGACAGGCGTCGGGTGGCCACATATCAAAAAGGTACTCCCTCCGCAAGCAAGGGGGCACCATGCACCCCGAACCAAACAGATTCCTCCCTACGATCGCAGCTCAACAACGCATTGTTTCCTCCCTCTGACAAGACGGAATGAGAGGAAGCGAGCCACGGCAAGTAGGACGATCATGACCACGAGAAGCCCAGGCGCCATGGTGTCCTGGCGGGCAATTCGGAAAAACGCGCTAGTCCAGAGCCCACGCATCAGCCCAGTGCACGTGAATCAGCTCAGTGTCAAAACCAAACTCGGCCAAGGCTCGAGGCGAGCGGAGAGAAGTGCCCTCATAGTGAGATGCAAGCATATAAGGGTGCTGTACGAAGACGCGGCACCCCAGCGGGGGGGCAATCTGCAACGAAGAACGACTGACAAGACGGGCAGAAGCGGCGGAGACGAGAAGGGTTTCGCAGAAGCCTCCAGAAAGCGCTGAACACCTTCGGAGAGACGCCTCACAGAAGAAAAAAGGGAGGGCATCAGCGCTCCTGGAGCCCACCCTGCACCTCCGAACGCGGAGATCTCCCCCGCCCGTGTCCTTCTCGTCCTGCCTCTCTTCTTTCTCCTCCGCCTCCTCATCGTCCCCGTCCCCCTCCAACAGCTCACCCTCCTCCCCTCTTGCTCCACATCCTCGGCCTCGTGCGCATCTGCCTCCTTCTCACCGTCGTCTTGCTCCCCTATGCGCCTCCGCATATCCGACCAGCCATAACTGGGGGAGCTGTGGTCCTTACCCCCCTGGGGGAACCCATCGCCTCGACGATCTCTCGAGAGGGGTGTCGAAATCGATGGGTCCCCCAGGGGGGTAAGGACCACAGCTCCCCCAGGTATGGCTGGCCTGCATATTGCTCCACATCCTCAGCCTCGTCCTCATCGGTGCAGCACCGATTCCTCGAGAACTTGTCCGCCCCCGGACCGCTTCGCCCGCGGATCCTTTCGCCCGACCACTACACCGACGGCCGCTTCGCCGACGCTCACACGGCTCCGCCCCCGGACCGCTCCGCCAGCAGACCTTGTCGCCGGCGCACTGCTCCGCCGGCATGCCCCGTCCTCCGTCGTTTTTCGTTCGTCGTGGTCGTCGTCTGGCGTTGTCGACACCGATCGACGGAGTCGTCATTCGGCAAAATCGCCACGGTCGGCGCCAACGTCGTCACCGTCCTCTCCGTTGAGTTCCGCCCGCTCGCTTCCGTGACACCCCGCCCGTTCGAATGTCCCGCCCGCCCGCGCAGGTGCGCCCATTGGGGGCCCACCTACCCGCCCGTTAGGATCCGCCCGTTCGCTTGCGTGACAGCCCGCATGCTTCAGTGTCCCGCCCGCCAGCCCGGGCCCGCCCACCGTCCATGTCCGCCCGCCCGCGTCTCCGCCGTGAACTGGGTTCCGCCCACCCGCGGGTCCTCGTCCGCACACGCGCTCGCATGACGTGCAGACTGCTTCAGAGCCCCGCCCGCCCGCAAGGGTCCGTCCGGCGGCCCATCTTACTTCACCCGCCCGCCCGTCCGTCCACCCGTTGGGGTCCACCTGCCCGCCCGTCCGACCGTGAATCCGCCCGCCCGCTTGCGTGAAAGCCCGCCGGCTTTCATGTCCCACCCGACGGTCAGAGTACACCCACACCCCCGTTAAGGTTCGACAGGACGAGAAAGGACACGGCAGGACGACACGTACGACGAGCGGAACGACGACGAGCAGGCGGAGGACAACGACGACGACGACCCCTACATGCGAAGCGATCCGCTGGCGAAGCGGCCCGCTGGCCACACGGTCCCTCGCACAACAAACATCGGCAAAGCGTTCCGCCGGCGGCCGGGGATGCAGTCCGCCAGCGATTCGCTGGCGAAACAACCCAGGCGAAACCGTCCTCGCCGAACCGGTCCGCCAATGAAACGGTGCTCGGCGTAACGGTTAGGTCGGCTAGCGAATCAGATCTCGAGCCAATCTCATCCCAGGTCCATCCCGAAGGAGCTGGGCTGCGAGACGCCAGTACCACTTACCAAGTCGCACAGAACGAGTCAAAACCAATCAAGCAAGTCCTCACTTGGGAAGAAGGTTTCGTCTGTCGCAATGTTGCCCGCCCAACGGCTGCTTGTCTGCAAAATTGATATCACTACACGGGGGTCCTCCGAAGGGTCCCTGGCGATCCCCGGAAGCCTCGGGAAGCGCCCAGAGGCCCCGGGAGGCCCAAGAAAAACCAAAACACCGAAACACTTCGCATCCTCTCACACCTGTGATACCCACCTAGAAAACGTCCGACGTCCGCAGGGCAGATGGCCCCGACCTACATTCCGCACGACCTACCTCGAGGCCAGAGACCTCACTCTGGCCACCGAAGCCCGAGGACGAACTACAGAAAAGGAACCCCCAGAAGACTTCCGATTGGGGCTCACGCCTCCCGACCAGGCGACCCAGGGCGGTCCTGGCCAGGCGAGCCGAGCCCCTAAAACGAGCCGACCACAAACGACACACTTGGCCGAGATTGTGCATCTGTCTACGGCCGTAGGCCCCATGAACCTTACAGAACACGATCGCCTCATCTCCCCAGACAGCGCCCCCTCCCGACCCGCGCCCACCCCCACCCCAAATCACCCAACCCCTGCGAAAACCACAGGCCGTGCACCCCCAAGCCCTCCGCAGGCGCGTCAAGGCGCGCCCATTTGGGCCCGAGACAAGGGACAGCTCCTAGAACTGAGGGGCAGCGACGGGGCTCCGATCAGGCCAGCCCGCACGCGCGACCCTTTGAAGGACCGTTCCGCGGTGGAGCGAAAGGCTCACTACCGCCTCCGAGGCGGCCTCCACGTCGCCCACGCGCTTCTCTACTTCTGCCATCGGGCGCAGCCTGGCGCCGTCCTTGTCGCGCCTGTCCGCCTTCACATTGCCGCGGTAGTGATGGCGCGGCACTCCAGCGCGCTCAGCTGCTGCTCCACTGGCGCGGGCACGGACCCAGCTGAAGCGGAGCTGCGGCCCCATGTCTTCGGCGTGGAACCAGACCTCTTCCCGCATCTCGGCGCACTTGGACTCGCGCGAGAGGCGCCACGTCTTGCCCCGCTGGAGATCGACGATGTCGCGACAGCGCGCGACGACGTGGACGTCGCCGCAGTCCTTCTCGCGCAGGACAGTGACCAGGACGAAGAACTCAGCATGGCCCATCTCCAGGACAGGCCCCGGCACGTTCCCGAAGGAACCTCGAAGGACGGCAGCGCCGTCCGCGACCAGGATTGCAGCCCAGCCTGCGCGACGCAGCTCAGGCTACCGCGCGGAGGAAGCTGAGCCGTCAACGCAGACCTTCCCCGATTACAGCCCCGCCCGCATGGGCGCAGCCCGCGCGCACTTCCTGCCCGCCGCTGGCGGCGGCGCCCTCTCGAGCCCCAGCGGCACGAGGCGCCGCGGCATGCCGCGGTCGTCGATTAGCGCCGCAGCTCCAGCACCGCGAACACGACCGAGGCCCAGGACCACGGCCACCGCGGCGGCACCCTCACAACAGAGGAGCCCGCGGCGCGCCGCGCCGCCCCCGCCCTCGCACCAGGCGCAAGCGGGGGAGAGGGCCGCCCTCTCGCCGCACAGCACGGACTGCGCGACCAAGCCACCGCGCGCAGCGACTCCACGAGCGCGACTGCCCCGCGCCGCCTCGCGCCCGCAGACGGCCAAGCGCCTCCCCGACGGGCGCCTGGGCGGGCGGCCCCGACAACGAGCCATCTCAATGGTCGGGCACGCGGCGCATCAGCGACTGGAACGCGCCGCCCTTCCAGCGCGGCGCCGGGAAGCCTGGGGCCACGCACCGGGAAGCCCAGCACCTCGCCACGGCCCGCGCGCCAGCCGCGCCGCGCCAAGGCATCCCACCCGACGCGCTCAATAAAGGCGGAGGCGCACCTCCCCAGCAGGCCCAGAGACCTCCCCCAGCGCCTGGGCCACGCCGCCACGGACGCCATCGCCACACTGGAGGGGGCCCGCATCTTCAGGAAGACCGCCTTGGCCCACGCCAGCAGGGCCAGCAGGTGAGCAGGATAAACTGGACCCCGCGCCCAGCCGCTGCCGGACAGGATGGCGAACTGCGGCGCCCGGCGCCTGGCCCCCGCAGCTCATGCCCGGACGCGGCCGTCGGCAGCCCTCGCCTTGCCGGGCGCCCCCGCCGGGGCACCGCGGACCCCGAAACCGAGCCAGATGGGCGCGAGGCCACCGCGCCTGAACACAAGGTCGAGCTTGGTACCCGCGTTCCTCAGCTGCACGCACCCCGACGAACTGGCCCCGAGCATGCCCAGCCCCCCGCGACGCGCAGCCCGGGACGCCCCAGCACTCGCGTTGAAGTCCACGCCAAAGTTCCTCACATGCCTGCGGAAACAGAGGTCGCGCGCGGCTCCGCACATTGCGGCCTCCGCGCCCCGCGGTCCGCCGCGCGCGGCGAGGGCGACGTCTCCGACCACTGCGCAGGCAGTAAGCGAGGCCCCGTTGGCCACGAGCTGGCCCACGGCCGCGAGGAGCACCACCCCGAGCATGGTCGCGGCGAATGAGCAGCCCTCGATGATGGAAGTCCCCAGCCCCATAGCCTTGGCCTTCAATCGCCCCAGACTCAAGCGGCGAGACCCGCCGCGGGAACAGAACAGAAGCCACGGCCCAACGAGCTGCCGCCGCCAAGCACGCGCGCGAGACCCGCTCATGGGCCTCCGACAAACCGAGGAGCGTCAACTTCCAGCGCCGCCCCGCCGCCCTGGAAAGGTCGGCGTCGCACGATTGGAGCCGCGCCGCGCCCTCGCACTACTCCCCCGGCCGAAGAAGAAGCCCATGGAATGCGCCTGCTCGCAAGCCTGCGCGTCGCCCCTGCGAAGCCCCTAAGAATCAAATCAAACTGCCCAACCCCATGGGCCCCCAGTCCCCTTTCCGCCTTCGCCGGGGAAAAGATGTAGACCACGTGCATCTGACTCAGCAGCGGGCAGACGGCCCCCCCCCTCCTGCAGCTGCCACAGGGCGAGCAAGCCGTCGGAGCTGAGGTGCCCGACGGCCAGCGGCTCGACCCCGCCAACGCCGATCGCCGCGCCCGCCTTGAAAGAGGAAGCGGCCACGACGACGGCGCGAGGCGACGGGGCCTCGGCCACCTCCAGCATCGCCTGCGGCAGGGCCCCCCCCCAGCGCCACTGGGGGCACGCCCCCGAACTGCTGACATCCTGGCACTCCTGCTTCAGCGCGCCCAGCGCGCCCGCAACGCGGGCAGGTCCAGGCGGCCCCTCGAGGTCTCGAGCCTAGCCCAGGGGAGCCTCGCAGCAGCGGCGGGCAGCTCCACCGCCGTCGCAAGCCGCCGCCCGCGCCCACTTGCGCCAGAAAAGAACGCGGGCCCCGCCGCTCTCGGCCTCCAGCTCGGCCGCGAACTCGCGCGCCTCAGTCTCGAAGCCCAAGGTCCACGCAGCTGAAGCTGCCTGCTGGTCCGCGGCCCCTTCTCCACGCAGCGGCCCTGCCGCCATCCTGCCAGCTGCGGCACGAAGACGGCCCAAATGACGCGGCGCTTCAACTCGTCTACCTCGGCCCCGTAGCCCCGACGCCCGGCCGCCGACATCTCCCACATGGCCGCGCCGATCCTCCGACGCGGGGACGTCGGGCAGCCATTGGCGCGGGGTCCGCTGCCGGGCAGGAAGACGCCCTGCCCCTAGCACTCGGGCTCAGACGCCCCCCGCGGCACTTCGCCCCCCCCCCCCCCCCCTCGCCCTCGGGGTCGACGAGGTAGCTGCCAAGCAAGTCGGACCTCATCAGCCGCGCGAACTCCGCGCACACGTCGTTGACCTCCCGCTGCACGCTGCCAGCCTCGTCCTCCGAGGGCGTCGGGCACCCGGCATCCACCTCGCGCCCGGCCACCCCCCCTGGCGAACCTGCCCCCGCACGAGTATGAGAGAGAAGCCGGCGGGCTCTCGCGTCAGAGGGACCGCGCCCCCCCGTTCCGCTCCAAGGCCGCGCTGGCGCTCCGCGCGACCCCCCACTCCGCGGATCCACTCGCGAGGGCAAAGCTGGCCTGACCCAGCCGCGCGACCCCCCACTCCGCGGGCGCACTCGGCCACCACGCCGTCGACCTCCTGCGGCCAGCCCCACGTCTCCAACTCCTGGGGCTCCAGCCCCACGTCTCCAACTATGGCTTGCAGTTCCAGTCGCCGCCGGCGACGCACGGCGCCTGGACGCCCGACAAGCACTCACCAAGCCGACCCAATAGCTGCTGGGATTCCGCGCCCAGCCGTCTCCGCCGCCACAGGGTAGACGGATGCGGCCAGGAAACTGCCAAGGACGCCGCAATTGACCCATCGGGCCAAGATGCGGCCCTGCGGCACGACCGGCCCAGGCGGAGCCATCCCCATGCCGATGGGGGAGCGAACGCCGATGCCTACCCCGCAGGACAGACCACCAATCTCCGTGAGCACCTACTCGTTGAAGGCCACCTTCCAGACCTCCTTGCAGTAAGCCTGCTCGGCGTCATCCTTGGCCCCACGGGCCACACCAACCCCCGACGAGAAGACCACGTCAGAGGTGGCGCCCTGCTGCAGCCAGTGCATCATGCTGTTTCGGGACGTCGTGTTGGCCATGTCCAACCTCCAGGTGGTGCCATGCCTCCTAGATCTCTGGGATCGCTGCGTCGCCCCGGCCGTCACCTTTACCTCGGGCGCGCTTGGCCGGTGGGAACTCGACTCCTGCCGCCTGGCACGCCTCCTCGAGCTTGCGACGGTGTTCTCCCTCGAGTTTGTCAAGCTTCTCGAAGAAGGCCACACGAGCCGCTGCCTCGCACTGCCCTCGCCACCCTGCGACGATTCGGCCAGAAGCAGCAGCAGGAGAAGCAGCAGCCCCCATGGGCTCGTGTTTGTCCCCGTGGGCTTGACCTGCGCCTGCAGACGGTCCACCTGGCGCTGAAGGGCAGCGTGGGTGGCAGCGACAGCCTCGGCCGTGGCTCCATCGGCTGCAAGCCTTCCGATATCTGCAAGCCCGCCGAAAGCCTGTGCGAGCTCGGCCGCGAGCTCGGGGCTGACGCCAAACGGGAACCCGACCTTCTCCACCCGCTTCGCCTGAGCAAGCACCTCCTTTGCCCCGTCATGGCGCTTGCGCGCGGCCTCGACCTCCCCCTTTGGCCTGCGCGGCCTCGCGGCTGGCCAGCTGCTTGCTGAAGCGCCCGACCATCCAGATGCATCTCTGCGGGACCTGCGAGGAGGCCTTGGGTTTGACCTCCTTCGCGGGGGCGAGGGGGGGCTCCAGCATCGCCCTCTCGCTCTCGCCGAGGACCACGCCCTTGGCGCCCAGCAGCGCGAGCAGCTCCGCCACCGTGGCCCCATCCGTGGCCAGCCGCAGGCACTGCGCCCGCCGCCTCCGCACCGGCCTTGCCGCCGCTTCCGGCAGGCCCAGACTCGGCCTTGCCCCCCTGGGGCTGGCGGCAACTGCCCTCGTCCAGCGGGCGCGGCTCCCGCCGCCTGCTCCAGCGCCCGCAGGCGCACCACCGTGGGCGCGGAGCGCCCGCGCCCGCCGCAGGTTAGCCTGCAGGCCCGGATCCCGTCGGCGCCGCAGGCACATCCCCAGGTGGGCCTGCGGGCCTTGCGAGGGCAGACGCGCGGACGCGCCCCTCCGAGGCCCCTCGAGCGCGGCCGTGAGGAAGCTCCCTGGGCAGGTGGC